GAGAGCACCGCGACGCCGCCAAGAAGGCCTGACCCCGGCCCGCATGCGGTCGCGGGGCAGGAGCGAGCCTTCTCCCGGGATTTCCAGGCACGCCAGCCCCCGAGCGCGTGCGCGGCCGCCGGCGTTGCCCTCCCGCACCGCGGGGGAACGATCAGTGCTAGACGTTAAAAAAACCACAAACAAATTGCTTTCCACAATCAGGCAGATGCAGATCTATTTTCTATCGGACGAGAATCGACGTTTTTCTAAAGACCTCGGGTTTGTATTTTTTCTAACCACGCGGCCTCCACGGGGGCTGCCCCTGCCTGACGCCGCGGCTCTGCACCACGAGCTGGAATGTGCCCTGGGCGTTTCGCAGCTGCCCGACATCTTCCTCACCACTGTCGGAGCTGCGAGCGCCCGTCCCCGTCCCCTCTTGGCTGGGTCAGGCCCGGGATCCTGCGTCGCTGCTGTTCATGACACACTCCACGTGCTCCCGGCGAGCGCAGGGGCCAAGGCCGGGCTGCAGAGCTCTTCACGAGATGAACTACGTGATTGTCACTTTTTAAATAAATCTCTTCTTCATACACCGCTGGGCTCTGGAAGTCTCCTTCCGCGGCGCAGCACCGCGATGCGTGGTCAGGGATGCCCTGCGGGCAGAGCTGAGCTGGGTGGCGGCTGGCACTGCACGGAGCACCGTGGCAGAAGCCTTGTGTGGGGCAGCAGGTGCCACAGGCAGTCCCAGAAAGGGGTCAGCCTGTCAGGAAGAGCTCGTGCCCACTCCCTCTTACTCCCCATCCCTACCCCCAAGGCTTCCTTCTGCTTTGCTCTGCCTCTGGGACCTCCCTGGCACTAGGATGGAAGGGGCGAAGGTGCCACACAGCCCCACGCAGGAAGTCCAGGCACAGGGGCACAGGCTTGGCACACCTCCCTGACTGCACAGCTCACTCCCATACAGCTGCAGGAGCAGCGAGGGCTACAGCCCCTGGGCACCCACTGGATCAGCACCCAGCTGCACCCACAGACCAGGCTGGAGTGCAAATGCCCAGGGCTCCAACTGGTGGCACGACCCCTCTGCCTGGGTAGAAGCACTTGGCTCACATCACGCAGGAGCCACAGCAGGATCCGCTACTACAAATACCTAATTCCCTGGGGAAGAGGCCCCGCGCGTGACACAGGGTATTTTTGGGGATGTGGGAGCAGGCACCCAGTAAGCAGGGAGAGCACAGTGCAGAAGGCAGATATTTATTGGTGGAGAGAGGAGGGGATCACGGGATAACACACACTGCTGAGGTGACCACAGCACAAGCTGGGACAGAGCTGCTCTCCCTCCATCCCTCCCAGCAGCAGCACCAAGCACGTTTCCCACCAGCGAGGCAGCTCCCAGACCTCGAGCACAAGCAGGAGTGGAGCCGCTACGC